CCGCTGTTATATGAGGACGGACATGATAGAATTAATACATAGTTTTCGGAAAACAGAAAAAATTACCGTGAAAGAAATATTAAAGTAAGAAAAATAAAGAAATTAAATTAGCAAAGCAACTTTTCCAAGAGAGAGAAAGAGGAAATTGGTGGGGGAGAAGTGAGAGACACTTCGATATCTGGGGGGAAGAAAGAGCATCTTATAGCTAGAAGGTCCCCAGGCAATGCCCGCTCGTCCTTCTGTTAAGGATAAAGTAAGAGTGAAGGCGTTAGTGTGATGATTGGCATAAAAGACGGAATTTTGAAATTTTGTATTAGCGAAAGCTGAGGCTATTAATTTGGAAGTTTAATACATAATTTAGAAGGTCCTACTGAGGGGAGGGGGGTAAATTTTGATTAATTTAAATCGGGAGGGCTGCATGAGAAGCTTGCAGTGGCAATTTGGAACTTGGGAACCATCTCAGCATTTGCTTGAAGACAGGAAAACCAAGGAAAACCTGTGTCGAGATGGCCGGTCGCAGGACCTTCCGGATGCGCGCTGACTACTAGCCAGCGGTCCGGCAGACAAAGAGGAATTTGTACGACCCACTTCTCCAAGCAGAAGCTCATTTACATATTATTCTAGAGTCCGTACCGCAAAGAAAACACCACACTTCACCATTACATAAATCAACCGGTTAACGCTGTTTATTATTAGAATCATAAGAAACACGGAAATACAAAATGCAGAGATTTTGGTTGTCAAATAAAACGCATATTCTAATGACAAGCCCCCTTTTCCGTTCCTCTCTTTAAGACATTTCGCGACCTCTTGAACCAGTGCATGAGGCCTCCCTGGTTGTTAGACTGGAAGTGATTGGTCCTTGGGGCGCAGTTGAACCTAGGTTTCGAGCTCGTTATTTAATAACGAGTTGGGAGTTGGGTTGAAAATTCCCCGGCGACCAATCTGCTACGCTGCCAGGACCTCTAAATGCAGCAGTGGCTTACTGACTGGCCGATGCGAGCGTCTGCCAGACGTTCGAGCTATTTACAAATTACATTATTATATTTTATAAATCATTTTATTTCACTTTTGTAAAAAAAACACGAATTAAATAAAATATTCCTTTCTGATACGAGTGCAATAACCACCCAGACACTTCGAACCTGAAGATGGCCGTATGCGGCCGAAACATGAAGGTCAATAAACAATCAAAAAGTGATAAGCTTTATGCGTGATAGTGACAGTTAAACGTCAAATATCTATTTGAAAATTATCCAGTGGCCCCTTGCGTTCTGCTGCCTTATTCAATTACGCGATCAATTTATGATCCAATAAAACAAATCAGACAGTAGCTTGGCTCTGAAGTCCATTCAACTGAGCCCAAAGTTCAATAAAATAACAACAAAAAACTTTCCGTTTGCTCTGCGACATTCAAAATCGACAAAATCCTCTTTCATTGAGCGTAAATACTTTTTAAACTGTCAAAAGTTTTGGAATAGTTTACAATAATTCATGGCTATGTTAATCGTACTTATTGATCTAAATTAGAATTTATTTTTCAAGTGTTTTAAACAATAACAACTTAATTTGTTGCAGAAGCTAAGTGAAGAAATTTTTTAAAATCATAAAACTCACGAAAGAAATTTTGATCGGCCTGATATTGGACAGTATACATAGCTCACCATAATATCCAAGCATAATTGTTTCCTTATACCGCACAAAACAACCGAAGACTATAGTTTCACTATAAATAATCATTTAATTCTATGTTTTAAAAGCATAGAATTAGATAAATCAGTAAGAATCTGGGCTCAATAATCTTTATTTACAGCCCTAATTGCCTGCATGTGATACCCACAGAGGGAGAATAATAAAATCCTATTTCATCTGAAGTTCTTAACGTTTTAGAATCCATGGCCGACAACTCAACAAAGAGCAATTTAAGTTCCTACATTCTTGTTAATTTTTTTCTTAAATGTATGTATACGAACGTTAATAGTAATTCCGAAACTGTTTTGCCTTCGAATGTCTTAAAATGCAAAACACAAAGAACTTTGATCCAACAAGCTTTGTACGTGCAGAATATTAAAGTTTTGCTCCATATTTTGCTCAGACATCAAAGTGGAGAGAAACTCTAGTCAACTTCTTTAACAGCGGGGTAATTTTGAACTTCACAACGTCTATTTCGATAGGCGATTCAAAAGAGAAGTTTTATTTTTTTCTCTGTAACGTTGCCAATTATTCCCTGCTGAATCGCATAGTTGAGCGAAATGCTAATGCGCATATAGCAGCATCCCTATTGTCCCCCAAACCCCTTTCTGAAATATCCTCGCAACTTTCTCTTTCTTCATAATCCTAATATACATTTTCCAGTACATTGCTTCTCTTCGTGAGATGAATGGGCGTGGTTAAGAACTGAGGACACCGTCTACATCGTGCGACGGATTTACATCGACTACAATGATAATTCTTTTGTGTTCCACGTAGGGAACGAGCCGGTTAGCTCAGCGGTACAGCGACTGGGGAAATTGATGGATACCCGGCGCTCAATTACGATCCGAGGAAAAATATATCAATTAAACTACGCGTTCAGACTATTATTTGACTGCTATTGGTACACTATTATTCCAGACTGGATCCTGGACAATGTACAGCCACTAGAAATTATACATTTCCGAGGTCAAGAACCTACACTTCCTTACGTGAATTTAGGGTGGCCTCCAAAGACATGAAGTCCATATCAAATTTAATCCAAATCCGTCAAACGGTTTTCGAGTTGGATAATGCGGATTTTCGATCGGACAGACAGACATTTTCATACGTAAATGCGTTCATGTTATCTAAATCACGTAAAGGGCTCATAATAATTTAAATGAGTACGAAACAAAATTTGGAATTAAATTTTCTCACTTGTTTTCAACAATTCTTTAACACCTGCTTCTAATCAGTTTGCCTCCAATCTTCAAATAAATAAATAAATAATTTTATTTTACAGATTACCGAACATCTAATGATCATGTAGCAGATCAAAAAATTCCGTCTTTTATCGAAAACGAGAAGTTTCATTACAATTCTCAAAGAACATGCACAGAATTCGGTTGTACATGGCCAGGTTAAATTCAATCCAGATTTTCAAAACATATCTAATATTCACTCCACCGTTATCCTGCAATTCTTGCACAATAAAATAAACATAAAATAAATTCATCTTCTAAATCCAAATAATAACTGTATTTATCATCTGTTACAAGAGTCATTATGTGTTAATGGATCTCATATGATTATCATTATAAACATCGATTATTTCCTTAAACAGCGTTAACCAGTTGATTTTTGTAATGGTGAAGTGTGGTGTTTTCTTTGCGGTACGGACTGGAATCTTAAATATTATTTAGAATATCTTCAGACTTCAAGAGTTAATGCAGTAGCTTATTGAAACTTCTTAAATGAATGTCTATAAAGAAACAGGCTTGCCAGTACAGGAATAGGGCCTATAATACGAAATCATAACATACTGATTATGCAAACGTAATAAGGTAAATACAGGAAACGTGTTAAATTTTAATTAATGTAGTAACACTGCGAGCAGAAACTGGATTGAGTAGTGAAAGGAAACCACCACATTGTAACCCTTTCATGCTTAAGCTGGTTTTCATTATTAATTAAACGATAAACAATTTATAACAAATTCCATTTTAATCTTTACTCAGATTACAGTTTCAGCTGTATTGTAATAAAATATACAGTGTCACACTGCTATCAGCAAATGCATGTAGCGGTAAATAAGCTTCCAGGAACCCCAGAACTCGTAAATTCATGAAGATCATTCACAATGTGTTTCGTATTTTAATGCAAACGGGCTTGGGAAATTAAACAGTTACGAGCAGGTTTTACTGCCAGCCATCTTACATCACACACTAATGTGAAAAAATCGAAAATAAAACGATAAATTGAGATCTAGTTCACAATTAACACAATGAGTGGCGCTTCTGTGCATCTGCCACTAATTTTTGGTACTATTACTTGGGGGGAGAGGAGGAATACCTCTTGACCTCCAGACTGACTCTGGGGCCCACACAACCTCCTATCTAAGTGGTGCCCTGGGTTCTTTTTTATTATTTATTTAGTGTTCTGTCTGACGACAGGTCCATATGAACAGGATCCTTCCATCCTTTTCTCGGACTGGGACCTGTTCATATACGTTCTTGGCAGATGATCCAGAAGTGGTTTGCCATTGCCTTCTTCTGTGTGTGAATGGAGTAATTGTGGGGATGTCACGGAGAAACCGGGGAAGCCCCCGGAGGAAAACTCCGTGTTGCCTAGACCACGGCCTTGCCCAACACAAGTTATAAATTCGGGCACCGCCGGGAATCGAACCCGAGCTCCCAGGATTACAAGGCCAGCGTTCTAACCGCTGACCACTCACCTCCATCTAGTGCCGAGTTCAATAATCAGTAGGAGCTATAGGGTCTCTCCCCCCAAGCGCCTCTACGGCTTGTAGCATAGCGGGGCAGCTTTACTTTAACTACCATTACCACTACTACTCGAGGATACGACCGAATGAAACAAAATTCCTATTATTCCTTCCCTCTTCGGCTGAATGACACGGACACAATGGGACCGCTTCCTTTAATGGCTTACTCTGCGTTCTGACGTGTACGTTCCACCGCTGACTGGGCAGTAAACGGAGTCATTGTGACTGCAGTCATCGGCTGGCGTATCTTCACCGCACCCAGTTAAATGGAAGTGAGGGTCTATTTCTGTTCTGAGTTCCTTAGCCTCAAAGGTGAGGTCTATGACAGGAGAAGGCGTAATACTCATTCTCGATCTCTGAGGACTAGAGTTTGCTACCTGTGACGCTTTCATTTTCCGGCAAGTTTATCGCTCCGGGCGAGGCCCTACGTGGGGTACATATTTTCCCAACCCCGTATTAAAACAATTAGGGCTCACAGCTGTTATCTTGGACAGAGGGAGGTAGGAGACTCGTTCTCACGCTGTCCGCGTGTGAATAACCTTACCTGTTATCCGCACGTTGGCTGGCGAACTGACCACGACCTGGCGCGACAGGCGATGCATCGTCCTACATCTGAACGACGGGAACTGATCACTGAACTCCACGTTATGCACCAACAGCTCCCCTGTCGGTAGTAAGTGGTACTTTCCGTCTGGAAAATAAAGGGAACTTGTAAAGGAAAATGCAAACAGTAAAAAATATCAAAATTATTAAGAGCACATGACTGTTTTCTGGAATATTCCGCCGTGAAGTCTGATAGAAATTGACCGATGTTTCAGAGGCGCTTAATACCTCCATCATCAGGGCGATGAGTGCTAACTCACTGTCCCGATAATAGAGGCAGCAAGAACCTCTGAAACGCTGGTAATTTTTTATCAGGCTGCACGGCATAGTATCACAGAATTCTGTCACCTTGAAACTCACCGCTGTGAGAAATAACATGTCACCGAAATTAGTTAATAAAGTAGCACGTTACGAAAATCTAGACAGTGCCTCCGAGCTGTGACTGGATTAATCTGGCTTATAGCAGGGACTACTGACAGTATCTTGTAGATATGTCCCATAAAAGGCTGTAAATTACTCGATAATCTGAAAAATTGTTCGGTTCTCAATAAAGACTCTGATCCTTTTTATTTATTGTTTACTTGCTCACCTAAATATTATTTAAAAATTTGACCCGTACCGCAAAGAAAACACCACATTTTACCATTACAAAGATCAACTTGTTTACGCTATTTAAGAAAATAATCGATGTTTCCACTGACAATCATATGAAACACATAATATACTTTGTGGATAAGACGCAGAATTGCTGACTGTTAAATGTAGTTGGTAAGTATAGTTACCACTAGGCCTTAAGCCGTTAATATTTTATAATTACAACACGTATTAAGATATGAGATATTTAATTCTTCTCGTACCTCCAAATGTATTTCCCTCACCCCGCGCTCTGAACCGTTCTCAACTCACTACCGCGTTAGAGGGGCCCTAAATATTTTGCGCCACTTCAGCACCGCAGAATAAATAGCGCCGATTTGCTGAGCTGTGCAGTCGTCTCTGCTTATTTCGCGAAAGTTTATTCGAACCGTCAGCTTACATCTCGCTTCCAACCACGGCTTTAATTACGAAGTCGTCCTATTTATGTATTTCAGTGAACCCTAACATATCCGAAACTTCAAGTACGCCTATTACATGATTCGTACAAAATAATGAGGTTTAATTCTGTTGGCTGTTACGTCGAAGCATTGCAGTGTGGAGCTCTACAAAGGCAAGGCCTAACATTCAACCAGAAATTCTGTGTGGACATGATATTGGATGCTATAATTCATACCGCGTAGCGTATCAACAAACACAAAAAGTATTTTTAAAGCTTTAAAAAGCTATACAACTTTACTTTCTCATTAATATTCAGTGATATAAAATTCAGATACAACCATGTTGCTTATACCCCGTCTGACCAAGGAGTGCCCTTCGGAAAATCTGCATTGTTGACTGGTGACGTACGCTATACAGCACCGTACATGCAGCCTCCCCTTGCCCCCTCTGTCCGCCCTAGAGACATCGCACTATGTAAACATTCACGAGCGCTTTCTCGCGAAATATCCATTCTTGTTCAGACGGGGTATACGAGTAATCGCTAAATGAGATAATGACGAAACCTCAAGAAATCGTGTTAAAAGTAAAATCTGAGATTTTCACGGCGGTAAAAATTTGGATTTTGGTATTATCGGTTATGGAACCGTGTAGTCTCGGAGGCCTTTATCCATAGTTTGTTTCTGTAGAAACTTGTTTACGCTATTTAAGAAAATAATCGATGTTTCCACTGACAATCATATGAAACACATAATATACTTTGTGGATAAGACGCAGAATTGCTGACTGTTAAATGTAGTTGGTAAGTATAGTTACCACTAGGCCTTAAGCCGTTAATATTTTATAATTACAACACGTATTAAGATATGAGATATTTAATTCTTCTCGTACCTCCAAATGTATTTCCCTCACCCCGCGCTCTGAACCGTTCTCAACTCACTACCGCGTTAGAGGGGCCCTAAATATTTTGCGCCACTTCAGCACCGCAGAATAAATAGCGCCGATTTGCTGAGCTGTGCAGTCGTCTCTGCTTATTTCGCGAAAGTTTATTCGAACCGTCAGCTTACATCTCGCTTCCAACCACGGCTTTAATTACGAAGTCGTCCTATTTATGTATTTCAGTGAACCCTAACATATCCGAAACTTCAAGTACGCCTATTACATGATTCGTACAAAATAATGAGGTTTAATTCTGTTGGCTGTTACGTCGAAGCATTGCAGTGTGGAGCTCTACAAAGGCAAGGCCTAACATTCAACCAGAAATTCTGTGTGGACATGATATTGGATGCTATAATTCATACCGCGTAGCGTATCAACAAACACAAAAAGTATTTTTAAAGCTTTAAAAAGCTATACAACTTTACTTTCTCATTAATATTCAGTGATATAAAATTCAGATACAACCATGTTGCTTATACCCCGTCTGACCAAGGAGTGCCCTTCGGAAAATCTGCATTGTTGACTGGTGACGTACGCTATACAGCACCGTACATGCAGCCTCCCCTTGCCCCCTCTGTCCGCCCTAGAGACATCGCACTATGTAAACATTCACGAGCGCTTTCTCGCGAAATATCCATTCTTGTTCAGACGGGGTATACGAGTAATCGCTAAATGAGATAATGACGAAACCTCAAGAAATCGTGTTAAAAGTAAAATCTGAGATTTTCACGGCGGTAAAAATTTGGATTTTGGTATTATCGGTTATGGAACCGTGTAGTCTCGGAGGCCTTTATCCATAGTTTGTTTCTGTAGAAATCCCCGATAGGGCCCACTGGTGTTCCCTCTTCCCGTAAGCCTTGACAGGGTTTTTTATCTACTCTTCGCAATTCCTAGTTCTTCGGCTCTCTACGTACTGATCCCCCCATTCCATATTACCAACCCACATCCCAGTTTCACTCATTTATACCCTGAAGATGGAGGAAGAGGCTGCTCCGAAACATTAGTAAACACCTACAATTCTACACGCTGTTACAAGGTAAAGCACCACAATCCGTGGTAAACAATTGTTTGTTTTTCGTTTGTTTAACGATGCTGAGACCATATAGTGTCGAATGGCACAATGATTAACGAATGACGAATTAAAAAGAATATGGTAGGATGTGTCACTTCACAGCCCTTGTTTCATTCGTCGTGCACATTGTCACACGTGACAGCGCGTGGTCCGCTCGTTTTTTGTCTGTGACTGACTGCGCCCTGGCAAAGAGCAAGACGCCTCCGTCTCTAGATAACAGCAAAAAAATATAAGTTTACTTTTGCTGGAAGTTTTCCAGCAGATAAAGTCACACAAGTTTGCAAAATGAGATAGAACACGGTGCTCTAGAAGTCAGTGGCGTGTTGGGACACTCTGGATTCACATGTGTTTCTTCACATTTGATAGTTCGCATGGCGTGGTAACAGCAGCCTGATATTTCCGGCCTTTGCTGCTGTTTCATCCTTAAATCTTTGAAGCCAAAGCTCATCTAAATAATATTTAAGAATTCGGCCCGTACCGCGAAGAAAGCACGACATTTCACCATTACAGAGATTAGTTCGTTAACGCTGTTTATGGAAATAATCGCTCTTTATACTGAGAATCATACAGAATCCATACATAAAAAAATGCAGACTTATGGATCATTAATTCAAGTGGGACGTAAACGAGATGGAATTGGTCACCCGATAGAATTTCAGAAGTGGGCAAACATTGACCTTGAAAAACAAAACAAGCATACAACAGCTGTTTTTGTTTTGTCATATATGAGTTCGGTGTGATGTTCTGGTCAGTCAGGATGGGTTTTACTTTGAACAAACAATTTTCGTTGTGGAGCATCATTATTTTGATATAAAATCATTTATATTGTGCCGAGAAGCGTTTTAAAGGAGACAGTGTCAAAGACCTATCGCCTAATCGGGACGTTCCTTAAGACTTTCATAAATCTGAAACACGACCATAGGAATACAGACCACAGCGACGACAAGCTAAAAGACGCAAGCCAAATTTTCCTGTAATCCCTTCCCAAATCGTTCTGAAAAGAATTTCAAGACGACATGTCATTTATTGTAAAGTTGGGTTGCGTTTTAAAATGAACACCCTGTATGAGTTAGAAAAAAAACACATTACTGCGAAATTTTACGACATTAAAAAACCCGCCACTGTGCTAAATTCGAGTGGCGTTTCAAGACAATTACAGAAACTAGGATGAAACGGCCTAGCGAGTCCGAAGCAGACCGAAATGCGATACGTGTAAGCGTGTTCTTTGCGTGTCTGTGAGTTTGCCTGCCCTCGCTGTTTCTCAAATGATCGATTGCAACAGGGCAGCTGTGGACAGAAACGTTTAATTAAACCACTTGTGAAATATCACCGCCAGCAGAGTAGCACAGCGGTTGATACGGACAGCTACGGCACACCCGTCCGGTCGTGGTGCTGGTTGGTTCATATTACCCCTGCAGCTTATACAGCCCGCAACATAACGCCTGCTGTGAGTGCGTGGGGTTGGACCTGTGCAAGACGGGTTGCATAACCTATCTGTCTCCCTCTTGCTTTGATATAATAGAACATGAAGGCAGACATACATATCCTTCTTAACCAGTTG